GCTGTGTTCTGAATACCCTCCAAAGCATTGGCACGAGTTATGAACAGTTATTTATGCCAGCCATCAAATGAGTCACAAGCCTATATATAGGGCATCAGTCTCCTAATGATGTCCACATTTTTCTAGCCAAAACCGAAGCATCATTCTTTAGCAAGGGTGACTCTATAGTGTTTGTCACCATTCCAGAGGAGCCGCATAAATCTGCTCTGTTTCTTGCAAGAGCGAGTGCTTTCATTAAATGCCATCATCACCTCAATATAATATCACACGCACACACACGGAGGGTACGTATGCACACACACATACAAAGAATGCATGCATACGCACACACGCAGGCATCCACACATGCACGCAATCACGCACGTCGACACATGAGCAAGAACGCATGCACTCGCATGCACACACACGCGCAAATATGCATCAACATATGCTGTTGCTCCTTTTTAAATGAATGCGTTTTCAGGTATAGAGATGATATATGTTACATTCTCAAATTAGTCCTAGTTAATATGAAAAGCTTAATTTTGCATAAATGCAGTGAGCTAAATTTATTTCCCATCATACAACATTAACCTACTAATGATCCTTGATATTTTCTGAGCTCCCGCACACGCAAATCAAATCTACGATATTGCGGTAGGAAATACACGGGCAGCTGGGTTTTTTTTCTGGAATAAATAAAACTATTGTCAGCAGCTCGGAGGCTCTCCTGAGTGGCTGATTCAGAGCTAGGAAAATAGGTTCATACTTTATGAGGCTTCTGGGTTAACTGCTTTCGGTGCAAACGGAATTTTCTGTTTGACCTACAGGGTCAGCAGCCCTCATCTCTGTAAATCACTCACCCCAGTGCCTGAGACCCCATGCACATGCACATTCACTCTCACGACAAAACCAGCATTAATCTTTGAACAAAAACTGTTCACGAAGTATATTAGGTTATCCCTAAAAATTTATATAAGAAAAAGCTTGGTTATATTAAGAGAGCTGTCTGGCTCTTAAAGGTCCATTGAAATCGTTCCCTTTTTTAAAATAAAAAAGACCAGGCAGGGCTATTTACACAGCTTGCTCTCGTCTGCCCCCCTGCACTGCAAGATTCATTACACTGATTGAGTGCAATGCACGCAGGCACAACAATTCCGGGCCGCGGCACAAACATACATCATGCAATAAACAAAAAGCACCTTCGCTAAGTGCGGAGAGCTCAACCTTTACCCACGAGGGTTGTGTTGCGTTTAAAACCGATAGAGACTTCCGTGAGACATTCGATCAAACAGGAGATCGGTGCGGTTGAAAGAGGTCGATCGTCCCGTTCCGGACCACACAATCCGTTCGGAACACCAAACCGAGGGCAACGTAGGAGGCAGCGTGGCAAGTAGGTTGCTCATATATCTGTACGGACTGCGATTTAGGCTCTCAATCGCGAGTCATTTTCGGTTTCATTCGGTTTTCTTCCAGGTGCAACAAATTCACAGAGCTGGTCAACTATTCTACGAAGGACCCGCCCTGTAACACAAAAAATCGACATACTCAGCGAAAATGTTGCGGATAATAAAGTATGATTACATTATAAATTTTATTGGACTTAAATCACACTAAAAATAGACACCTAGACAAATCTAATAGAATCGTAAGGGCTCTGTAATAGATTAACAGACGTAATGGAGTGCATCAGCCTCAATTAATCGGGTGTCATTTTTATCACGCACGAAGTCGCAAGCTTTCCACATGCGCAGCCACGGCATACAATGAACGAAGTCAAGAATACAAATACCCCCAAAAAAAGTATTAACCAAAAAAATCTACCTTCTCGACACCATTTCACACAAAGTACCAACTCTTAAACTATTTTTATTTTACCAGGTAAAGGCTACTGAGCTGTATAGCTCTTTGTCAGAAGTGACCTGGCCACAAATCATAGCTCAACAAAGTGGAGAGAGACATGCAAACTCCAAATATACAGCAGGCATCAGGGCCGGGATCAAACCAATGACCTTCTGCATACCAGGCGAGGAAGGTAACATCTCACCACCGTGGTGCCCCAAACAACACACATACACGAGGATCCAGGTGAGCTATTGATTTTCTAGAAGGAAAGCTGTAATAACCGCGCAGCAGACAACTCCTTGACTCTGGTTGTGATTCTCAAACTAACGCTGCTCAGGTGTTCTCACAGGACGCACACTCTCACAGGACGCACACTCTCACAGGACGCACACTCTCACAGGCAGCACACTCGATCGCATCGATGTACGTGCAGCGCCGGGGCAGGGACGATAAGGCGTCCGGGTATCTCACGCGGTTATTAATGTGACGGTGAGGACACCACTCTTGTGCGGCTGTCACGCCTTTGGCGAGCTTCTCGCGACAACAGCATCACTTATCAAGGTGTGGACGTCTCGACAGAGAATGAGACATGGGCATCTGCGGAAAGTAACATTCTTAACAATGCGCTGGTGGATCAAAGCATTGCGACTTGATTTATGTGCCGCCTTCTTCAAAACATAATCCACACCGAGCTTTCCATGCCACCAGTAGTGTAACGTGTGTGTGTGTGTGTGCGCACGTGCATGTGTGCCACTGGGTTGAACCGCATCCATTCCTCCACACATAAAGTAGAACTTGAGCTGCAAATGCAATAAGCTAAGTCGAACTTAATCTTACCGCAACAGCCATTTAAATGTGAAACATATTGCACTCTCAAGATGTATTATTTTTTTGTATAAACTACACGGCCTTCAGATTTTTCTTTACCATCATAGCAGCAACGTCTATTACAAGCACATGGAGAAGAAACGAGCAGATAACACACACACACGTAAACTGCACTTGCATTCTATACGAACGTATGCATATAATCATCACCTATTCTAACAATTAGAGTAATCTAATGGATTATAGTCCAGTGAAATCCATCACTAGCCATGATAATACCTGCGGCGTTAATTAGCACCTCCAAAGGCAAGACAGCGTGTGCACAAAAGTCACAGCCCCCCGTGTGCCCGTGAATGATGCTTTGTGGCGTAGCAAGTCTCGTCTTACATCGTCATCGCACTACTTCGCTGGATGACCTGCCAGTGTTGGGACCAGAGCTGTCATACGAATCGGCCACGTGGGCAGCCAGGAAATAAATGGAGCGAGTAACACAATTTTCCGTTCTCCTGAGCGCAGCCAGATTTCCATTTCTAGTGGAGGATTCCTGCAGGAGCACTTTCCATTCGGTGCACAAGATGTAACATTACTTGAGGCACTCAGCGATTGCACGTCTCAATCGGTGTAATAACCTGCACATCACATCTCAAAAAGTATATATATATCCGTGATTTCTACAGCACTGAGTGACACTTAAAACTAAGATCATCCATGTATGAAAAAATAAGAATAGGTTTTACCCTTTCTGGCAATACAACAGGTGTTAAGATGTTCAAATACCAAATGGAAACATTTTGCAAGAGAAACCTTTTACCAGAAAGGGCAAAACATATTATTTTTTCATACTTTGATACTGACAAAAAAGGTAAAAAAATTTTTTAAGATCATCCAAACTGCAATATTAGAAAAACACACACAGTGTTTTAACTCTAAGCCTTTCATTTCTAGGGAAGGCAATGCAATGTCGCACAAATCATTTACACAAGAGCGGCACTCAATGGTGAGCTTCTAAGAGGCCGTGCAGGGCAGCGTAGCAGAAGAACAGCATATTCGCGCTCACACGGATTGCAGCACTCCAACGTGCCTACGCGTTGGGGTCTCTCGAGTGCTGTCCCTGCACGGCATGGGAATCTGTTACAAATCTAAGCAATTCAAGTGGTTAAAAAAAACCCTAGAATTGAATGATCACTTCTCAGCCGATAGATTTTTTCCAAACATTGGAGAGCAGCAACGGTATATAGCGCAGGGACAAAACACGCACATGCACGCAAACATAAAAAGACAAAGATACACCGTTAAACTGTATGAGCTTTTGGGGCAAATCCCATTAGCATGCCTCTGTGCAGTCGCTAAGATCACTGCATGGGGGTATCGGCGGCCGGCACCATGCCCGGACACATTTGTCCCTCAAGTGGTGATGTTCACAAAACCGGCATCGAGTAGTTCATATATCCAACTACTTTTGTTGTCCGTGGCTGGAAATCAAACTCAGGTCACGAGGATTCCAGCACAGGATTAACGCATTTTTGGAAATTTCCATCTTTTAATTGTATAGCACAAAAAGAGGGAATGCCTGCAAGGTCCCACGTGAAAATTCCAAACCCCAGGGGATGTTCATTTGTAACATTTGGCAGATGTCCCAAGATGAGAGATACCTTTGCACACCTCCTTTTGTACTTTGTGTGCTGCCCAAAACAGTGCCATTGTGGTGATGTGCTGCAAGAGAATTAATTCACACGTCTCCTTGCTCTGGGCTTATTTGCAACCTCATAAAACACTTCGAGCAATTATGTCATGGTTAGGTCCTGCTGGAATTCACTTTTAATCAACAGCAATTATAAAAAATAAACACCTTGGTTGATGTTGGAGCAGCGGCAATAAGTGTTTTTTTTTAATGTACGGGTAAAAACTGTATACATACACAAACTAGGAGCGGGATATTATAATGAATGAATGCAGTACAGAAACGAGAACAACATTCAAGCCTTGCTCCAATTTGGTAGAATAAAATGGTCTGTGTATTCTGTGGCTGTTTGACGTCGTTACTGCAAAATTAATATCCAAGAGTGTCTGTGACCACACACTTTAGCCGTGTCGGATTGCAAAGGATCGCTATTGCATTAATAAGTAATTATAGCAATGCTTATAGCACACAGGGCTTATTGCTACCATCACCACCGGTGCCACAGCTGTCACGACGAACTTTAACGACCTTATTAATTATAACGGCGGAGAACTGCGGGACCAATGATAGATTATCGTAGTGAACACAATGGGGACAGCCACTCTCAGTATGTGGGTGCATACGTATTGACAGCACCCATTTATTAATTGCAGTGAAAGGCACTCACTGTATGGGCAGCCGTAGACGGCCACGCGTAGCCCGATGCGCGCCGGGGTTCCCGGATCGAGCGGCGCGAATCGCAGGAACCGGGTGACCAGCGGCCGCGGCAGCTCGTGCCGGACCCGGCCGTCCGAGTTCTCATTGCCACCGAATGCCTGCAGACACAGAGCACGGTGCAGCAGGACGCGAAAACACGGTGCATAGCACGCCACAGAAAGGTACGGCAAGATACAGGCGTGGCATAGAATGGCCGTCACTCCACGCACAGAGTGGGTATGACGCGAAACGGACTGGCGCGCCAGGGCAAAAATTGTTTTAAAATGCTGGCAGTGTGTTTTCCTTACTCTTTGGTTCTTTCGACTTCACCGAAAGAACCAAAGAGTGTGGATTCCTGCAGTCACGAAAGCTTCAAATCAACATTGTGTTTGCCTTGTTAGAGATAATCACTTGTGAGTACATGACTTTAGTGGAGTTCATCATTATTATTATTATTACGACTGTTGTTGTTGATTATCATATACGCGTTGTTGAAATTACAGTTTCACACTGGATGTAGAAATATCCCATGGGAATCTATTTTTATTTTCGTGACCTCCCGTATGACATTTCCCATTGTAGAGATGATGGCGAAATCAATTACTCTTGCTCAAACTGAAATTGTAGCCTCTGAACATTAAAAAAACACATACGGGGTGATGCATGTAGAGATACCTCACTGAAATCTAATGACACTCATACTCTCTTATCAACTACCGAATGCTTATGGTGAAGTTGATATCTTACAGAGAAGAGTGTTAAGCTTTTTAACATACGAATTGAGATTGGCGGGAGACATGCATAGGCTTTGAAATAAATTGCTGTTTTTTTTTCAATAATTTATCACTATTATTTTAGTTGATATAGCTATTTCTGGATTGGACTGTATAATTACAGAATTTTCCGTCCATTTACGTATTTGTAAATGTACTATATTAATTCTTTAACTTTTTACAGGACAGCATACATCTGTAGATCTGTGACCCAAGTTGTGCAATACCGTGGGGAATCGGATCCAATCATGGTGGGTTACCGATCGGGCCATCACACACACTCTCGCGTAAGAGTTGTGGGGAGTCTCACGCCATCAGACTGCTCCCCATCGCTTTAAACCGGCGCCTGCAGCGCATCGTGGGCATGGACATGGAGGTCACGTTGCCTTGTGGCTCCCCGTCAACCCTCACCGGACAGCCACATGACAGCTTCTCGTATTTTGAAACATTTACATAAACAGAGTAGTGATCCCAAACAGTCTCCGTCTTGCCAAAAAGTCACATGGGCACAATGAAGTAGGCAGAAATCGACTCTTCTAAAAGACAATTCTCAGTGGCAAGGCCCATGCCTTCTCTTCAATCGCACACTCTACCCTCTCAATCTGCCAATCCTGAGCCCGTATTCTCACCACTACGTCAATCCAGCAGCGCTCCCATAGACTTCACCACTCACTAGAAAGAGACCTCCCTTGAAAGGTAAATTTAAAAGAGCGAGTCGCCGTATAATTGGCAATAAGAGTTTTGTAGGAAGCTACTGAGAACTGTATGTTAAAGCTGTATGCAGGTATCCGTGATCTTCAGATGTATGTCAGAACATTACAGGGAGGGGGGGGGGGTACTTTAAATTATTGCACTTCATGCATCTGAAGTGCATTCACCACAAAATAACTGGTTGTGTCAATGGATTATCACAGCCACAGCATTAAATAAATTGATCTCAGTGCTACAGAAATTGACGCTGAAAGGGTTAAATATTCCTCCGGATTTATTGCACTTAGGGAAATGCCCAGAGGCAGGAGAGAGCAATCAGATGAAGCCAGAATGACAAAACGGATGCGACCACACGATATATTCTACCTCCTTGCATGTGTGATCCTGAGGCATCGTAATAAGCTACTTTTTTATTTTAAAGGAGGCTCGGGGTGGGGGGTACATAACTCACTTATCCGGTGCATGTGTATTAATTTCGGTGATTAATAGCTTGTTTAGGACGCCATGTACAAGCTTATCTACCTCCTACAAATGATCCCATAGTGTAGCCATATGCTGTCAGTGAAAGGGATAAACAGAGGCGAAGGTCCTTAGCATCTACATATAACGCCAGCAGCTGCGTACTGTGACTCGTTAACCCGTGGTGGAAAATGGGCAGCATTTCCCGGGCTAGGGCGTCGGGAATTGACATGTTTATGAAATCGAGTCGTTTGTCAAACATCTGTGCGGACACCCCTGGGAGGCTAGAGGTTTGCTAATCAGCTACCCCCTGGGCTTTACGCAACCAAGCATCCCACATATTCGTGAGTTAAACACGAGCTCCTTCGTCCGGATGGATTTGCGATGCATTCTTTAATCAGAATGTGTTTAAACTGGAGGAATCCGATTAGCTATAAAGCTCGTTTTTACAGAGGTCCAGTAGGGGTAGGTCAGAACGTTGCAACAACAAACAATACAAAACCACGACACGGGTGCAAAGTATAGGAAATGTAAATAAATCACATTAAAAAAAGCTACCAATAAAACTAAACTATTATTTATCTTACCAGGTGAAGCACACTGAGATATTAACTTATTTTTCAGAAGCGACCTGGCCACAAATGATAGTTCAACAAAGTGGCTTATCGTGTGGATGTGTATAGCAGAAAAATAATCAAAATAATCTAAATGCATGTTTCTAAATCGCAGTGCAGCAAAAATCCTCTGCAGTAATAAAAACAAGGAAATACATTGAATGTTAATTGTTTACATTTTCACTCTGTCTCGGAACGTCCCACTTGGGTGTTTAATTTTAAAATGAAAGGTCATGCATTTTAATCCCAATTAACACGGGGAAAAGAAGATATGTTTCACGTGAACTTGGCTTGTATCTGCCATTAAATTGGATGTCATCCTCTCACAAGGTTAATCATTCACGAGCTAATCGAAAACACTTTTTATTAAAATATTACATGTTTTTTTATTCAGTGTTTCGAAATCATACTTTAGCCCAGTCATCAGTGAACGTTGTGTTGTTCTAAACGAGGAATGTCGATGGTATACACAAACATACAGGAGAAAGATATTGTTTTGGAAAGTGATAGTTATTAAGATCAGAGAGAGAAAGTAAAAGGTAACGAATCACCCAAAAAGAAACACGTTTTAATGTGACGACTCACCGAGACTACTAAAAAAATGTAGATACAATCTGAATATAATTATTATTCATAACACAAATTCAGTGTATCCCAGTCCTAAGCCTTTAATGGGCACGCGTTAAATGTGCCCGTTAGAAACACACCATTTGCAAAGAAATCTGTTACCAGCCCTGCACAGGCGATGCACACAGTTATAACCACGGGCGTTAATCGCAAGCTACAAGAAGAGCGAACAACAATATAGAGATTACAAAATGGAGATGGATGGAGGGTTGCAGTGCGACCATAAATAAGGACAATTTCTGCGAGGTGCATGAGAAGCCATCAGAAATCGCATTCCCCCCCCCCCCCTAAGGCAACTCCATTAACGCAAGGAGGGGCCCTGAAGACAGACACCGCTTGATTCGGCGGTGGAGGAATGGAAGAGCGGGAAGGCAGACGCGGGGCTATAAATAGCGAGGCAAGATGCGCTTCCCCCGCATCCTGGTAGAAACGAGCGAAATCTACGCTGTTACACACTCTCGCCTACCCACTGGCATTTGCGATGGCACAATGCGGGAATTCTACAAATCACCACGCACCGATTCCATCAATTTGGAGATCGAGAGCATGCGAGAGAGTGCGTGCCAGGGTACCATGTGGATTTACAGATGGCAGCGTAGCGTACAAGGGCGGAAAGGCAAACCAGGGACAAGATTTACTGTATAGATGGAGTAAGTGAAGCCATAAAGAACGGGTGGCCTATTACACACGGAGCGTGACAGCCAACTCAATATGGGCCGTCTCGAGTGAGAATCTCTACAAATGAACAAACAATTGTTGAGCCTCAAGATTGTATGCACGTACTGCTATTGTGTTTGAACTCATTGGTGCAATACCGGGGCGCGTGCTTGCATACATAAGGTACAGAGTGCGGCACGACTAACCATACGGTTGCCCATGAAAAATGAACTCAACGTCAAAGAGTAGTTACTGATTGCGAAAAAAATAAAATCTCGTAACGAGTGGCGAAGGGGAAGTTGAGTTTCAAATGCCAAGAGATGAGAGAGGTTGTGCGTGAGCGGCGGTGTCCTGGCACTGTGGCGTCCGTCCGTGAATAGGCATCCGAGGCCAAGCGTAAATGTCTTGCGCGTGACTGCGCGTTGCATGCGTGACTCTACGTTGCATGCGTGACTGCGTGTTGCATGCGTGACTCTGCGTTGCATGCGTGCCTGTGCGTTGCATGCGTGACTCTACGTTGCATGTGTGACTGCGCGTTGCATGCGTGACTCTACGTTGCATGCGTGCCTGTGCGTTGCATGCGTGACTGCGCGTTGCATGCATGACTCTACGTTGCATGCGTGACTCTACGTTGCATGCGTGACTCTACGTTGCATGCGTGACTGCGCGTTGCATGCATGACTCTACGTTGCATGTGTGACTGCGTTTCATGCGTGACTCTGCGTTGCATGCGTGACTCTACGTTGCATGCGTGACTCTACGTTGCATGCGTGACTGCGCGTTGCATGCATGACTCTACGTTGCATGCGTGACTGCGTTTCATGCGTGACTCTGCGTTGCATGCGTGACTGCGCGTTGCATGCATGACTCTACGTTGCATGTGTGACTGCGTTTCATGCGTGACTCTGCGTTGCATGCGTGACTCTACGTTGCATGCGTGCCTGCGCGTTGCATGCGTGACTCTACGTTGCATGCGTGCCTGCGCGCGCAGGTGTGAACCCGGAATGATGAGTGCGGTTAGATGCTGTTTCAAATGGAGCTACCTAATGCGCGAGTAAATTTGACATCGCCACTTAATTGACCACCATGTCCAATGGGGGCACATAATTTGTCGACCATTACCGGGGGCATGCAACCCATCCTCCTCACTCGGCTCACCATGCGCGGAGGTGAGTTAAGACTGACACGAGCTTGCACCCGATAAGGAACTAAATTGAGAGGATGAAAGCGGCGTTCGTGTCATTGTGGAGAATATAAGTAACGCGATAAATAATCATA